CTACTGCTACTACTACTACGACGACTACTACTACTACCATTACTAAGACGACTACTGCTACTACTACTACCACCACCACCACTACCACCACCACCGCCACCGCCACCGCCACTGCCACCGGCACCGCCACTACCGCTGCCGCCGCCGCCACTACGACTACCACAAACACTACCATGACGACGACTACTACTACTCCTCCTGCTGCTGCCGCCACTGCTGCTGCCTGTTAGTTATTCATTTCCTTTTTCTGCTTCTTGTTCGAGTCCAACTTATGTTGCCACAGAAACTGGCACACTGCTGCTTACTGTAATTCCGGAGAGCGCCTGAGCGAAATTCTTCTCAAAAAGCACGAGCAACCACATCTTCGCACCTGCACACATTCAAACATACATACACACACATATATATATATACATACATTTTTTACATCTGCGCACCTCCCTCTCTCTCTCTCATCCTCTCCCTCTCCTTCTCTTGTCGTCAATAATATCTTACATCTTACGCTGGGGGCAGTGCTGACCCGAAGTACGTGTCAAGTGTCAAAAACTGAGAGAAGATTGCAATTTCCAATTGTCGCAATTGTCGGCGGCAACCTTTTCGCACGACATGCGCATCAAGTGCAAACATGCTGAGGGAATTTGATGATTTGAATTTGGGTGATTTGAAATTGTCGGCGGCAACTTCGCCCGAAATGCATGTCAAGAAAATAATGCGACTTCAATGTTTCGGCGGCAGCCCTTTCGCGCAAAATGCATGTCAAGTTTCATTAGTTTCCAAATTGTGGACGTTGATACTGCAGTGTGCAACTGTCGTAGAAGACGAAGGTGCACGTGGCCAACGTGTGTAACCGTCGTCGAAAATGAAGGTCCGCCTTGCGAAAGTGTGTGCGCGTCGTCGAAATCGAAGGTGGATGTTGCCAAGTGTGAAACTCTGTCCTGACAAATTCACTTGGGCGTTGTGAAATTGAGTAACTGTCTTCGAAAACGAAGGTGGCCGTTGCCAAACCTGTTAAAATGAAGGGGCAACGTGCCAAATTGCATACTGTCATGCAATGTTTGAAACGGAGGTGTACTTTGCCAAAGTATACCTGTCGTTGAAATGTGGACGTTCCCAGACTGTGTAGTTGTTGTCGAAAACGAAGATGGGCATTACCACACTGTGTAGCTGCTGTCGAATGTGAAGGTGCGTGTTGCAAAAATGTGTATAAAACGGTCGTCAAAAACGAGGCGGACGCTGCCAAAGTCGTCGAAAATGACGATGGAAGTCAAAGCGCGCCTCTGCGAGCGGGATGTTCCTGTTTGGAAACCTTTTTTGTTCTGCGGACTGCGTTTCGGTGTGGGGTTTCTTGCTCGAAACCTGTTTTCTGTGGAGGATTTGGTGTGTTTCTTTCTTTTGGATGGGTCCTGATGAGGAAGTTTTGGTTTTTGTTTGAGGCCTTTTGTGGTAACCAACGGTGCACCACGTTTTGGGGGAGCCTTTCTAGCCTCCAAATTTGATTGACCAGCGGTCTGGTTAAGGTGCTGTTTCCTTCCTTAGTTGAAGCCGTGCTCTGATCTGCCGTTGCCTGTACTTGTGCACAGTTCTTGTTCATTTTGCCCCACCTGCCTCCCTAATTGTGGGGGGGGTTGTTCCCAGCGCAGATGATTCATCCCTAGTAGGCCCTAGCTGATTGATTATCTGTTTTCTTCTGCCCGGAAAAATATGTGCGATGAGCCTGCCAGGGCAGAGTTGGGCGTGTTGGTCTTGAAACCGTCGGTTGATGTTCAAGTATTTGACTGGTGCAGGCGCTCGGCAAGATAAATCTTCAATCAAGGCGTGCGTTTCAACACTCTAGGGGACATCTTTGGGACAGGACGTGAAGGCACGAATTTTTCTGTAAACCTGCGCGTAACCTGAAACATTGCCTTGAAACATCTTTTGGGCAGGGCCTGAATGCAGAATGCATTTTTTGCAAAAATGCACACAAGCCTTCTAAGATTCTAAACCTCGAATGGAAGTCATGTCTGGGGCAGGGCCGGGATCCAAACATTTTACCGCAAAAAAGCATGCGTGAGCATCAACTGGAAGACATCTTTGCTACCCTCCTCCAGGGAACATCCTTTTCATCAATCGTCGTTTTCTCACAAGCTTTTCACTTTCTCTCTCACCACCCCGCTTTACTAGGAACAAGTGCATCGCTTCTAGTAACAAGTGCCTTACTACTAGGAGCAAGAACGCTACTAGGAGCTCCTGGCCTTACTACTAGTTCCCCGGCCGCTTTTGCAGCCGCTCCTCCGCGCTGGAGAGCTCGGTGCCTTCTGGCGCAGTTCGAGAGCGCTGGGCGCACCTCTGCTCCAGGTTGGAGGCATCAGGTTCCATCGCTCCTAGGTTGGAGGCCATCGCTAGTAGGTTGGAGGCCATGGCTGTTTGATGTTGTTTCATGTGCAAAACAGAACGGTCACTGACGTTCAGAATGTTGTTTTTCCAGTGTCTGTCTGCGTTTGTTTGTCTTTCTTCCCCTACTCCGAAACACGATCGCCTGAGTAATGGAACATCATTTGCACGGCCCTCGTTTCCAGGAGTGTATATATGTTTGGATCAGACGAAAACTGTAGAGAAGTAGACCCCAAAACGGGAACAGGAACTGAAACAGATCGCCTTTGCAGCCTTGTTTTGACAAGATGTGCATGTTTCTGAGGATCAGCTTTCAGTGCTTTCCAAGTTCCGTGAAGGAGGGCTGTGGAACGCGGGCTATGCCACAAGGCCCGATGTAGATTCTTGCGTTCTTGACGTTCATGCTGAAACTTGAGAGGCTGCCAAAAAATGCAATCCTGCAGTGCAACTTGGCGGGTCAGTATTTTGGTGGATGGTTCAGGCACCAGGATGGTTTAGATGGTTTTTCCCTAAAGTTGAGAGTGAGAGTGTGAGGGAGTGTGAGTGTGAGTGTGGGTGAGAGTGAGAGTGAGCATCTCAGGGCACAAATAGTGATGCACCTGCGCCGAAATTTACACTTTGGGCTCACAAAGAAATGCGCCTGCCACGAAATCTGCACTTTGAGGTTCACAGAGCGCTGAACCTGCCACGAAATCTGCAAGAGCCACATGTCCAAAAGTCACGATTCACCGCACCCGTCACGAAATCTGAGCCTCGACGATCACCGCCATGTCCAAAGTGCTGCGCCTGCCACGAAAAATGCACTTCGAAGTAAAACACCTCCGACCAATGGTCTTTGGAGAGAGTGGTCTTCTCTTCAGGTTCCTCAAGCGGATGTTTGCAGCCATGATGTCTCCGACTGCGAGAACGCAGCGGCCTCAAAATCGACGGGCGAGCTGTCTCGGCTGAGCCTAAAGCGTCTAATTTTTTACACATGAGTGGGTGGTCATTTTGACTTCTTCATTCTTTCCTCGTTTCTTTTCTAACCTGTGGTTCTTTCCTTTTCTTGTGCGTTTTGAGGTCCCCACTGGTGGGTATTGTACTGTGTCTTGGCATCAACCGCGCGTCGTGGCATTGTGCGCGTGGCATCGTGCCAGGTGCGCTGCAAGTATCCCTTCTCGGGCTTCAGCAACGTTGGCAGGTGCGCAAGGACGAAGTGAAACAAGCTGTCGCTGAATAGCGAAATGCCGCTGCAAGCTGTGCAAGCTGCCAAGCTGAGCAAACAAAGAAACGTGCTTCTTTATTGTAAGGGCTTCGCCCGGGTGCCGCCGACCCCTTTTCAAGAGGAGGTGCTGACCGTAGCACTTCCTGTGGACGGCCGCAGGTCTATCTGCGTGGCTGGAGAATGGCAAGCAGAAGAAGAAGAAG